TACCCATAATAGAATGATACGATTAACACGTGAACGTAATTTGGCATGATGTAAATGCCATGAGAACAATCGATCAATAATTGGTCGAGGTGAATCTAAAAATGTACGATATGTCAACAGGAAATCTTCTGGATATGAATTATCAACATTTGATAAATCAGCTATTAAATGTTCAATTAACTTTTCTGGTGTACCCTTTATGAAAAATTAAAATAAAAAAAAAGAGAAGACAGTCAAAAAAAATAATGATATATGATGTTCACATACATGAGTAAAAATTACAATTTTTGGAAAAAAAAATCAATGCATACTTACTAACAAAAAATTGTATAATGCATGATGAGCTACTACTTAATTTCCAATTAACATGATTCATCATTGAAAGTCAAATATGCTTGTGATAGTATTTAGTTAGTTAGTTCTCTGAGTTAGTTATTTTTGGTTGTGGAGCAAACAACGACAAGTTTAAGGTAAACTGTAGTGAACGAGAACACAGGTGACGGCAACCGAATTGTATTTATCGCAAAATTACAGAGTTATTACTCAGTATAAAATAGGAAAACCATATCGTAAATTGTTAATTTGCAAAATATCCAATCCATCATATCGAACTGGACTGTTGTTCCTGTTGCAAAACAACATCAATCCATTGTCACTATTCATGTGTTTCATACAAATTCCATTGTGTTCTTCTAACTCTTCCTTTCTTGTTGATCTTCCCCCATCTTCTGCTGCCAGACATTACGTTGACACTCACGTCATATACTACTACTTATAAGTAGCTCACACCACAAAACAACAGCAACCACAATCAAGATAGAGGTTAGCAGAACAAGCTATTGGGTCAAACTACAGGAGAAATTCAAATGCTTCACTTTTTCTCTATCTGAAGTTTGTGTTGATGATGTTGTTGTTTTTGTTGTTCAGAAGAAGGAGAAGAAGAAGAACAATGAAAGCTTCACAATCAAAACATCATCCAGCTCAAAGAACGAAATACCACCTGAGCTACAAATATGCTTTCAAGTATATACATATATATATATATATATATATATATATATATATATATATATATATATATATATATATATTAGACAAGAAACTCTGTGATGATGAGTATAATATGATATGTGACTGTTTACGAAAGGCTCCTTCCTTCCTTCCTTTATGACTGATAGAATTATTCGTACACTACATTTAATATTTTTATATACATCCGAAAAGAGTATTAATGTAGTAAACATGTTTAATGAATATACTCTGCTTGTGTACAAGAAAATGCCAATGACCGCATGACAGACAGACAGATACAATGCAGAACTTCGTACGTAGGTACATCAGTTCGGGTAGCCATACCATGTCAGCACAGACACGCAACTGTGAGTTCAAATCCAAAAGAGATAGCGATAGTAGAAGTGTTAGCAGTAATGGAGAAGATTAGAGAGCGAAGCTATGATTCGAAAAGTATAATTCAGTGAGATAAATTTAGAAGGAGAAAGATAGAGATTGCGAGGAATGCAGAAGCTTAGAATCTCATAGAACACAAAGGATGGATGCACCTGTGTCATCGCGAGCAATTTTGAGCCATGAAATTCAAAGTCTCTAACCATTGGTGACTTCAGTCTCGCCGACCCCAACCAGGTAGCCTACATCTACCAACATATGACTCAGTGCACTTGTCAGTGACTTCATGGATTTCTGCCATGTTTTGGTCTGGCCGCTCTTAGCTTTCTTCCAACCTCCTCCTACACCTCAAAACATAGCTCGTCGAGGCAGTCAGTGATTGGGCATACGTATCACATGTCCAACCACCTCAACTGATGAAGTTTCAATGCTTCATCTATTGATCTGCCATCCTTACCTAGTACTCGTTTCCTAACAACAGCATTGATTACTCGGTTCTCCCAGGATACATGAGCAATGCAACGGACACACCTATGATCGAAGATTAGTAACGTACGAATGTCCTTTACTCTTAACGGCCATGTTCCACATCCGTATTGTAGGACAGGGCGAACTGCTGCGCAGTACACTCGTCTTTTGGTTAGCAGGCGGATATCTTGTCTGCGCCTTAAGTGACGCAGGTTGGCAAAAGCCAATCAACCCTTCTGCATCCGTGCTGAGATTTCGTCAGTCACCAGGACATCAGCACTGATGAGACTCCCGAGATAAGTGAAGCGGTCTACACGTTAGACTGCTTCACTCCCTATCACTATTTCAGGTACCGATGTGACCCAATCTTGAAGCAACATTTTGCATTTCGAGGGAGGAAACCTCATCGCGAACATGCTTGCATTGTTGCTTAGGGTAGTCAAAAGATTTCAAGACGGATAACTCTGTCGTTATCAATAGTGAATGATTAAAGACGTGAATATCTCTGTTAAGTCTACTTACACAATACAGTATATATTGGCATGTAAAAATCATCTTAGATAGAAAGAAGTAGATTGAGAGTAGATAGATAAAAAATGCTTATCATGTCAGTTTCATGATTAGTTTAAACATTATTGAATATCAGATGAATGAACCAAGTTGTTACCAAATGTGAAATGATTGATCGAAATCCATCATGAAACAAACAAACGCTAATTTTATAGTAGACCCTCCATGGCTACTGTCGGTCCCAAGTCCGGATAAAGGAGGAGCGTTGGGATTGCGGTTGGTGACCCCATCCCGCAAAAAAATAACTCGCTCAGAAAAAATAATTCAAACCATCTAAACTCTGCTCTGGGAGTTAGAAGGTCTTCATTAAGAAGAGTTATGACGTCTCATGATGAAAGCCGAGTTCCTTCGGAAGTCACAAGGCCGATGCTCTTTCTGACAACCAGAGCCCTTCCGCGGTGTAGGCAGCCGTGAAATAAAATCCGTCTTCATGCCCATAAAAGCGCACGAGACTGACTGACTGACTTCAGAAATGATCATACAATGAAGATGGTGGATTATTGTGAATGACTAGTTTTGGTTACCAATACACACATACACCAATACACAAATATACATGAAGAATTAAGTATTTCCCTAACAAAATAAAAAGTGTACTGTTATTACCTACACCTACGATGCTGGTTACCAAGTTTAATAACAAAATCTTTAAAAAAGGGAAGTATTTATACGCCATTATGTAGATCAGCGAGTACTGAAACTTGTAGTTTGTCACCAAAAACTGATAACATTTAATGATTGATAGACAATAAGGAAGTATTTGGAGAACTATTTTAATGCCATATGCTAATACTAATGGACAGCATAGTCACACAACCTCATAAAGAATAAATTTTAAGACGTTCATGATGTTCACAGGTAGGTAACGTGATACATATATACATGGTAGAATAAGGAAATCAAATGCTTACACTTTTAAATTTAACTAATCTACAATATCGCCGACATATTCATCTAGCTAGCTTCGTGAAGAAATTCTCGGAGTTCTAGTGAAAAGACGTGACCAGTGGAATTCAACCCTGTCGGATGTAGGCTGTAACTACCAAAGACAAATGGTTGAGGTTGCGCAAAATCCCTAGATCGATTAGAGTTAGACATTAAGACCATTGGATGCCGGCCCCAGTGCTCCAGAGGTTAAGCGTTCACATGCAAGACCGAAGGTCCTGGGTTCGAATCCTGTGAGTGGCAGGAGTCGTGGATGCACACTGCTGATGAGTCCCATACCAGGACAAAACGGCCGTCTTCCAGTGCTTGTAGGTTTCTAACGGTTGTCTAACAATGATCGATTGATGATTTCAATGTCATTAAACATTTCAATTTCGTATACTTCCTTGCATTCGTGTACGGTTGTGGAAACACGCTTTGAGGATTGTTGAATCAATTGCCTAACCCCCCCCCCACCGTCATTATTCTTAAATCATTTTCCACCAGTGAACAAATGTTAAATCTAACCATAATTTCTGTAGCCAATGTCATTTTTTAAACAAACAAACAAACACACACACACACACATACACATCCGAAAAGAAGCAAATTTACTTTCAAAAAACAACAAACCTTTGTCACTAATCGACATTTTTTCGACACTATTGTCGATTGATTTTCGTTTGATGATTTATTTATATCCATAGTCAGATTTGTATCTAAATTTATGGATTCATACACTAGAACAACACGTCCACCTTCACCCATTTCTGGTATTTCTGCTTCACCTTCACGACTCATAATTTTTATATAATCTAATTGTGGCACGCATAAAAAATGACAATCTTCCGTCACCGTACGCATAATACCACGATGTAGACGATCTGGTTTACCAGGACGTACACCGAATGCATCACCACGTGTTAATTCTCTAATTGTATCATCTGGTTCAATGACCTTTGAATAAAAGAAACAGGCATATATAACCAAAAATAGGAAATAATTCATTTTGTAGTAGACAATTCGTTATTACTCAAAGTAAATAATATATAAGCTGTGATAATGCGGTATGGCAACCTGAACTGATGTACATATGTACGATGTTCTACGTTGTATTTGTCTGTCTATAAGCTTTGATACTATTAGGATGGGAATGTGAATGGACATTAAGTTTAAAAGAAGAATATTAACTACAAAGCTTCGCTGGAAACAATTCAAGTATCGTATGCATTGGATCTGACTTGTAGTAAACATGACATTAAATCGGAGAAAGAGATAAGCTAAGCAAGTAGGAGATATTATTATGAAGAAGTATGATGATTCATTGAAATAAATTTAAACAGAGAAAGATAAAGATGATGAAGAATCCAGAAGATTAGGATTTGGGAGGATACAAATAGTGGATACACCTGCGCCATTGTAAACGGCTTTGAACCATATCATTATTCAACATCTCTAACCAACGGTTACTATCGTCTCGTGGAACCCAACCCAAGCACTCTAGACTAAAAACTAACAACACCAAAGGATAGATAATCAAAAATCACAAATCATGTCATATTTGTATCTCTTGAATACAACATTTTTACACAGTCCAACTGACTTCACCACACCATTCGTCATTACGAATTGAAAAATACTTCACAGACAAATTCTATTAGGTAGAATAGGGTTTAAGTCAAAAAATTTTAACACTATGCTTTTGAAATGGTGGAGAAAATTTGTAGCTTAGGTAGATGATCGTGGCGGTGTTCCGTTTTCTAAGCTAGATATCTCGGTTGTGGAGATTTCATTGTTCTTCTTCTAAACAATAACACCATCACCAGCATAAACTATGGTTTACAAACTAAGATCAGTAGATAAAAGTGAGTGAATGAATAATAGTTAGGTGGTCAGTATTCGTGTATGTGTTCTATTTTGTTTCCAAATACCGTGAATTCACTAGATTTTTTCCGATGCAACTCAATAAAAGAAAAGTGAAAGTTATGTACCTGAATTTCAACTACATCAACCCTGTTTATTTTGTGACAACTAGTGATGATAATTGGTTACTTAAACTGATGAAATTATAGTAAGTTAGTCAGTCAGTTACAACGTAGAACATTGTACCTAAGTACATCAGTATTCAGGTTGCCATACCACACTGGTACACACAGATACAACTACCAGTTCAAATCCCATCGTGGTATGATTCAGTGCGATAACTTTAGAAAGAGAAAGATAGATATAATGAGGAATTCTGAAGATTTAAAATTTGAGCGAACACAAAGAGTGGATACACCTGCGCCATTGCAAAATTTGATAATAATAATAATAATAATAATAATAATAATAATAAGCAATAAGTAATAAATAATATTATGTCAGCACTATGAAAATGTTAGGATATTCATCCAATAATCCTAAGAGAATTAATGCTCAATTCCTATTGGTTAATTTCTACTGGTCAATTTTTTATGATCGTCCTAGATATCAATGTCACTTCAAATGTTACTTCCTATCGGTCGACTTAACTGTCAATGTCACAGACTTCGATGCTGTTTCCTATTCGATCAAAATGTATAAATACGCACCATGTGTAACGTTTTATGACCAGGACCAGGATCCGGTCCCGGGTCCCTAGTCCGGGATCCTGATTCTCTTCTGGACTCGGACCTCGTACTTCTGGATGCTTGTAGAATACAGGTTCTACTTCATATCAAGTCAAGATAATCGGATTTGAGTAGCATGTCGTGTCACCGGATCCCCTCAGTCCTCGCTCTCGTTTTCCGACTACGGTATACTCGTAATAATTCAAGCATATCAAGTTGACGTGTTTACATGTAGGCGTAACAAAAGCAAATAGTCCCAACAATTACATGTAACTACTGCTTATCACTCTACAAAACAATCAGACCAATTTTAAAATATACAATATTAAAGCAAAGAAATTGACAATTTCTAGTTGATAACACACGTTGAATTGCAATTTCTTTGCTTTAATATTGTATATTTTAAAATTGGTCTGATTGTTTTGTAGAGTGATAAGCAGTAGTTACATGTAATTGTTAGGGAACTATTTGCTTTTGTTGCGCCTACATGTAAACACGTCAACTTGCTATGCTTGAATTATTACGAGTATACCGTTAGTCGGAAAATCGAAGAGCGAGGACTGAGGGGATCCGCGTGACACGACATGCTACTCAAATCCGATTATCTTGACTTGATATGAAGTAGAACCTGTATTCTACAAGCATCCAGAAGTATGAGGTCCGAGTCCAGAAGAGAATCAGGATCCCGGACTAGGGACCAGGGATCGGGTACTAGTCCTGGTCATAAAACGTTACACATAATGCGTATTTATACATTTTGGTCGAATAGGAAACAGCATCGAAGTCTGTGACATTGACAGTTAAGACGACCTATAGGAAGCAACTTTTGAAGTGACGTTGATGTCTAGGACGACCATAAAATTGACCAGTAGAGGAATTAACCAATAGGAATTGGCATTACTTCTCTTAGGCTATTGGATGAATATCCTAACATTTTCCATAGTGCCTGACATAATATTATTTATTACTTATTCGCTTATTATCTATTATTATTATTATTATTGATTATTATTATTCAAATTTTTGCAATGGCCGCAAGGTGTATCCACTCTTTGTGTTCGCCCCTCAAATGTATTAAATCTTCAGAATTCCTCATTATATCTTATCTTTCTCTTTCTAAAGGTTATCGCCACTTGAATCATACCACGATGAGGATTTGAACTGGTAGTTGTATCTGTGTGTTACCAGTGTGGTATGGCAACCTGAATACTGATGTACTGTAGGTACAATGATTCTACGTTGTGTAACTGACTGACTACTATACTCTAATTTCATCAGTTTAAGTAAGCAATTATCATTCCACTAGTTGTCACAAATAAACAGGGTTGATGTAGTTGAAATTCAGGTACATTAAACTTTCACTTTTCTTTTTCTCTTATTGTAGTTGCATCGGAAAAAATCTACGTGAATTCACGGTATTTGGAAACAAAATAGAAACAATACACTGTAATACTGACCACCTAAACTATTATTCATTCCACTCACTTTTATTTACTGATCTTAGTTTGTAAACCATAGTTTATGCTGGTGATGATGTTATTGTTCAGAAGAAGAACAATGAAAGCTCCACAACCGAGATATCCAGCTTACAGAACGAAACACCGCCACAATCATCTACCTAAGCTACAAATTTTCTCCACCATTTCAAAAGTACAGTGTTAAAATTTTTGACTTAAACCCTATTCTACCAAATAGAATAAGTCTGTGAAGTATTTTTCAATTCGTAATGACGAATGGTGTGGTGAAGTCAGTTGAGCTGTGCAAAACTTGTATTCAAGAGATAGTGTTATTAGTTTAGTCTAGAGTACTTGGGTTGGGTTCCACGAGACGATAGTAACCGATAGTTAGAGATCTTGAATAATGATATGGCTCAAAACCGTTTACAATGACGCAGGTGTATCCATTATTTGTGTCCCCCTTGAATCCTAATCTTCTGGATTCTTCATCAGCTTTATCTTTCTCTTTTTAAATTTATTTCACTGAATTATTATACTTCTTCATAATAATATCTCCTGCTTGCTTAGCTTATCTCTTTCTCCGATTTAATGTCGTGTTTACTTCAAGTCAGATCCAATCTAGACGATACTTGAATTGTTTCCAGCGAATTTTATCAATGCCTCGTAGTTAATATTCTTCTTTTAAACTTAATGTCCATTCACATCGCCATCCTAATAGTATCACAGCTTATAGACAGACAGATAACAACGTAGAACATCGTACCTATGTACATCAGTTCAGGTTGCCATACCGCATTAGCACAGCTTATATATTATTTACTTTGAGTAATAACAAATTGTCTACTACAAAATGAATTATTCCATATTTTTGTTATATATATATGCCTGTTTCTTTTATTCAAAGGTCATTGAACCAGATGATACAATTAGAGAATTAACACGTGGTGATGCATTCGGTGTACGTCCTGGTAAACCAGATCGTCTACATCGTGGTATTATGCGTACGGTGACGGAAGATTGTCATTTTTTATGCGTACCACAATTAGATTATATAAAAATTATGAGTCGTGAAGGTGAAGCAGAAATACCAGAAATGGGTGAAGGTGGACGTGTTGTTCTAGTGTATGAATCCATAAATTTAGATACAAATTTAACTATGGATTTAAATAAATCATCAAATGATAATCAATCGACAATGTTGTCGAAAAAATGTCGATTAGTGACAAAGGTTTGTTGTTTTTTGAAAGTAAATTTGCTTCTTTTCGGATGTGTATTTGCGTGTGTGTGTGTGTGTGTTTGTTTGTTTAGTTAAAAAAGGACATTGGCTACAGAAACTATGGTTAGATTTAACATTTGTCCACTGGTGGAAAATGATTTAAGAACAATGACGGTGGGGGGGGTTAGGCAATTGATTCAACCGTGCAACCGTACACGAATGCAAGGAAGTATACGAAATTGAGTTGTTTAATGACATTGAAATCATCAATCGATGATTGTTAGACCACCATTAGAACTGGAAGACGGCCGTTTCGTCCTGGTATGGGACTCATCAGCAGTGCGCATCCACGACTCCTGCCACTCACAGGATTCGAACCCAGGACCTTCGGTCTTGCGCGGGATCACCTAACCTCAGGACCACTGTATCAGCACCTGACGGTCTTAATGTCTAACTCTGATCAATCTAGGGATTTTGCGCGACCTCACCCGTTTTTCTTTGGTAGTCACTGCCTACATCCGACAGGGTTGAACTCCACTGGTCACGTCTTTTCATTAGAACTCCGAGAATTTCTTCACGAAGCTAGCTAGATGAATATGTCGGCGATATTGTAGATTAGTTAAATTTAAAAGTGTAAGCATTTGATTTCCTTATTCTACCATGTATATATGTATCACGTTACCTACCTGTGAACATCATGAACGTCTTAAAATTTATTCTTTATGAGGTTGTGTGACTATGCTGTCCATTAGTATTAGCATATGGCATTAAAATAGTTCTCCAAATACTTCCTTATATTGTCTATCAATCATTAAATGTTATAAGTTTTTGGTGACAAACTACAAGTTTCAGTACTCGCTGATCTACATAATGGCGTATAAATACTTCCCTTTTTTAAAGATTTTGTTATTAAACTTGGTAACCAGCATCGTAGGTGTAGGTAATAACAGTACACTTTTTATTTTGTTAGGGAAATACTTAATTCTTCATGTATATTTGTGTATTGGTGTATGTGTGTATTGGTAACCAAAACTAGTCATTCACAATAATCCACCATCTTCATTGTATGATCATTTCTGAAGTCAGTCAGTCAGTCTCGTGCGCTTTTATGGGCATGAAGACGGATTTTATTTCACGGCTGCCTACACCGCGGAAGGGCTCTGGTTGTCGGAAGGAGCATCAGCCTTGTGACTTCCGAAGGAACTCGGCTTTCATCATGAGACATTATAACTCTTCCAAATGAAGACCTTCTAACTCCAAGAGCAGAGTTTAAATGGTTTGAATTATTTTTTCTGAAGCGAGTTATTTTTTTGCGGGATGGGGTCACCAACCGCAATCCCAACGCTCCTCCTTTATCCGGACTTGGGACCGACAGTAGCCATGGAGGGTCTACTATAAAATTAGCGTTTGTTTGTTTCATGATGGATTTCGATCAATCATTTCACATTTGGTAACAACTTGGTTCATTCATCTGATATTCAATAATGTTTAAACTAATCATGAAACTGACATGATAAGCATTTTTTATCTATCTACTCTCAATCTACTTCTTTCTATCTAAGATGATTTTTACATGCCAATATATACTGTATTGTGTAAGTAGACTTAACAGAGATATTCACGTCTTTAATCATTCACTATTGATAACGACAGAGTTATCCGTCTTGAAATCTTTTGACTACCCTAAGCAACAATGCAAGCATGTTCGCGATGAGGTTTCCTCCCTCGAAATGCAAAATGTTGCTTCAAGATTGGGTTGCACATCGGTACCTGAACTAGTGATAGGGAGTGAAGCTATAACGTGTAGACCGCTTCACTTATCTCGGGAGTCTCATCAGTGCTGATGTCCTGGTGACTGACGAAATCCTCAGCACGGATAGCAGAAGGGCTCGATTGGCTTTTGCCAGCATGCGTCACTTAAGGCGCAGACAAGATATCCGCCTGCTAACCAAAAGACGAGTGTACTGCGCAGCAGTTCGCCCTGTCCTACAATACGGATGTGGAACATGGCCGTTAAGAGTAAAGGACATTCGTACGTTACTAATCTTCGATCATAGGTGTGTCCGTTGCATTGCTCATGTATCCTGGGAGAACCGAGTAATCAATGCTGTTGTTAGGAAACGAGTACTAGGTAAGGATGGCAGATCAATAGATGAAGCATTGAAACTTCATCAGTTGAGGTGGTTGGACATGTGATACGTATGCCCAATCACTGACTGCCTCGACGAGCTATGTTTTGAGGTGTAGGAGGAGGTTGGAAGAAAGCTAAGAGCGGCCAGACCAAAACATGGCAGAAAATGAAGTCACTGACAAGTGCACTGAGTCATATGTTGGTAGATGTAGGCTACCTGGTTGGGGTCGGCGAGACTGAAGTCACCAATGGTTAGAGACTTTGAATTTCATGGCTCAAAATTGCTCGCGATGACACAGGTGCATCCATCCTTTGTGTTCTATGAGATTCTAAGCTTCTGCATTCCTCGCAATCTCTATCTTTCTCCTTCTAAATTTATCTCACTGAATTATACTTTTCGAATCATAGCTTCGCTCTCTAATCTTCTCCATTACTGCTAACACTTCTACTATCGCTATCTCTTTTGGATTTGAACTCACAGTTGCGTGTCTGTGCTGACATGGTATGGCTACCCGAACTGATGTACCTACGTACGAAGTTCTGCATTGTATCTGTCTGTCTGTCATGCGGTCATTGGCATTTTCTTGTACACAAGCAGAGTATATTCATTAAACATGTTTACTACATTAATACTCTTTTCGGATGTATATAAAAATATTAAATGTAGTGTACGAATAATTCTATCAGTCATAAAGGAAGAAAGGAGCCTTTCGTAAACAGTCACATATCATATAATACTCATCACAGAGTTTCTTGTCTAATATATGTATATATGTGTATATACTTGAAAGCATATTTGTAGCTCAGGTGGTATTTCGTTCTTTGAGTGGGATGATGTTTTGATTGTGAAGCTTTCATTATTGTTCTTCTTCACCTTCTGAACAACAACAACATCATCATCAACACAAACTTCAGGTAGAGAAGAAGTGAAGCATTTCGAATTTCTACTGTAGTTTGACCCAATAGCTTGTTCTGCTAACCTCTATCTTGATTGTGGTTGCTGTTGTTTTGTGGTGTGAGCTACTTATAAGTAGTAGTATATGACGTGAGCGTCAACGTAATGTCTGGTGGCAGCAGAAGATGGGGGAAGATCAAGAAGAAAGGAAGAGTTAGAAGAACACAATGGAATTTGTATGAAACGCATGAATAGTAGTGACAATGGATTGATGTTGTTTTGCAACAGGAACAACAGTCCAGTTCGATATGATGGATGACTGATATTTTGCAAATTAACAATTTACGATATGGTTTTCCTATTTTATACTGAGTAATAACTCTGTAATATTGCGATTAAATACAATTCGGTTGCCGTCACCTGTGTTCTCGTTCACTACAGTTTACCTTAAACTTGTCGTTGTTTGCTCCACAACCTAAAAATAACTAACTCAGAGAACTAACTAACTAAATACCTATCACAAGCATATTTGACTTTCAATGATGAATCATGTTAATTGGAAATTAAGTAGTAGCTCATCATGCATTATACAATTTTTTGTTAGTAAGTATGCATTGATTTTTTTTTTCCAAAAATTGTAATTTTTACTCATGTATGTGAACATCATATATCATTATTTTTTTTGACTGTCTTCTCTTTTTTTTTATTTTAATTTTTCATAAAGGGTACACCAGAAAAGTTAATTGAACATTTAATAGCTGATTTATCAAATGTTGATAATTCATATCCAGAAGATTTCCTGTTGACATATCGTACATTTTTAGATTCACCTCGACCAATTATTGATCGATTGTTCTCATGGCATTTACATCATGCCAAATTACGTTCACGTGTTAATCGTATCATTCTATTATGGGTACATAATCATTTTAATGATTTTGAAGATAATCATGAAATGATGAAATATATTGAACAATTTGATAATATGTTATCATCGGATGGTACAGGTAGGTAAATATACATATCAAAATTATCTATCCATCTATATATCTATTCTGTGATTTGATTTGATTTTTTCACTGGAATAATGAATCGATCATTGTTTAGGCCAACATTATAGAAATTCGAAAGCACTAAAAGCACAACTATTTGGTCCTCTAGTTTGGGAATACCCCGCTGATCGCGGGAATCGAACTCAGGACCTTCGGGTATGGTGCACGAAGGCTTAACCTCTAGACCGCTGAGATGATGTACCCAATGTGTAATATATAAATATATATTGAAATTAATCAAACTGTTACGGGTATGAGAGCGGTTGCCCAAATTGTAGAAGAGTATTTCTTAAGGAACCTGAAATAGACATTGGATTAGCGTTGGTCTTAGAGACTTGGGAGGGTGACCGAAGAGCCCAGCTATTTCTCCTCTAGTTTGGGACTCAGCCCCTGATCGCGGGAATCTAACGTCGATCCTTCGGGTATGGTGCCCGAACGCTTAACCTCTAAACCAATGAGAACTATCCATTGTCTTATATATGCATATATATATATGCATATATATATGCATACATATATGCATATGTCTTATATATACGCCTGTTACCCCCCAATGGTGAAACATAGGCTGCCGACGTGTATTCTCCAACCTACTATCTCTTGGGCCTCCCTTCCCAGCTCTGTCCAATTTTTGTTGATTCCTTCCATGTCTCTATCCATTTCTTGGCGTAATGTGTTTCTTGTTCTTCCTTCTTTCCGTTGGCCTTGAAGATTCCAAGTGAGGGCTTGTCTTGTGACGTGGTTGGGTGCTTTTTACAATGTGTTCCCTATCCACTTCCAACGCTTCTTCTTAATTTCTTCATCTGCTAGAATGTTGTTTGTTCTCTCCCACATTAGGTTGTTACCGGTAGTATCTGGCCAACTGGTCTGAAGTAATTTGTGTAAACAATTGTTAAGAAATACTTGTATCTTCTGGATCATGACTTTGGAATTTTTCCAAGTTTCCTCCCCATACAGTGGAACTGTCTTGGTGTTAGTATTGAAAATTGTAACTTTGGTGTTGGTTGATTGTTGTTTTCAGTTACAGATCGGATCCACCTTCCTCGTCAATGATGCTGCGCAGATGTGTAAAGGTTTTTACGTCTTTTAAGGCATCTCCATCAGCTGTGATTTGGTTGGTACATGATGTGTTGTATCAGAGAATCTTGCTTTTTCTTTGTGTTTGTTGAGACTTGTTGCTGCTGAGGCTGCTGCTACACTGGTCGTATTCTCTCGCATTTGTTTTTGCGTGTGCAATAGAAGAGTCAGATCATCTGCGAAGTCCAAATTGTCCAGCTGCATCCTAGCTGTCCGTTGTATCCCGTGCATCCCTTCAGATATTGACGTCCCTATAATCCAATCGATTACCCGGAGAGAGAGGAAGGTTGAGAGTAAGCAACCTTACCTGACACCGGTCTTCACGTCGAACGAGTTTGTGCACTGTCTTCTATGCATGTTTTCGCGTTTTAATCCATCATGAGAACTCTGTATAATGTGGACTATCTTCTCAGACATGCCTTACTGTCAAAGAAGCTGGTTAATCATGTGAAATGAAAAATCATTACTATTAGTTTCTCAAGATGAAAATCTACTTGTTTTAGTCGATTCACTCTATCACTTACTGTGAAATACTTTAATTCATAGAAATAACTCTCGCAATTAAGTATACTCGATGTTTGTTTGTATAAGATAAGATTGTCAAGCCCATATAAACAACACACTTAAAAATAATGCATTTAAGTTTACTACAAACTGGAAATCGGTATAAAACTCTTCGAATGCATCATGTGGTAATTAATAATTTGAATCTTTAAATACGATAAATTACATCACAATGTTTAATCAGTTTGGAAGCAAACCGTATCTCATCTTTTAAAAAAAATCTATCTATTCCCAATGTAAGTTTGGATAGAGAAAAAAAAGATTACATGGTTGTAAGATGTCATAGAAAAAAGAAGCAACAGCTGGTTAAGAAATCAATCAGTCAGTCAATTACAACGTATAACTTCGTACGTACGTACGTACGTCAGTTCAGGTCGCCATACTGCGTCTGTGCTAATGTGGCATGGCGACCTGACCGTAGCTGTTACCATGACATGATGGTCGAGCTTGCCTGTCGTAATGACCCGACCGAGCTATATTGGCTTCAACATATGTTTCTGTAGGTTCTACCGTGCAAGGTAGGTCGATTGGAGAATGATGAGACTAAAAGCAGCTACTCAAGGTGTGAGGGCGAATTCGTGCTGCTGACTGTAACGAGGTGTGGCAGCAATAAGGTGTTTCCATTGGACAACCAGCATCTGCAGCGATGCTGCCTTCTCACAAAGAAGGAAGGGGCTAGAAAAGGTCGACCCTACAAGTGTCACACCTCACCCTACCTCTCGGATTTCCGTCTCCGGCTGTAGGGACTTCTAAAAAAACGGAGCTAACACTTCAAAACGGTCCTATAGACAGACTTCACGTGACCGACCTGAAGCAGTTGTCCCTTGGACTCTGCGGCCACGCTTCCGGGTCTCTATGACTTACACTAATCAACCTTCCTTTACAGGTCCATCAGGCTAAGAAATCATGCAATTAAAAACAAATATAACTTGCCCAAATTACAATACAGTACAGTACAGTACTTATTCACAATGCAGTAGTTGCATTTCTACTTTTATTTTTACGTGGAAATAATACATTCACTCATTTTATTTTTCTTCAAAAAAAAATTGATTCTTTCAGCTGGTGAACGTCGTCTATTTCGTTTAGCCTGCAGTACAAAAGCTCGTCCACGTGAAGTGGAACTTATTATTCCATTGAAAACTGTACGTCATTTGAATTCAGATAATAATACTAAACAAATCGTTGATGATAGCGCCGCTTTGTCAACATCATCAACAGGTGGACAACAACAACACTTGAACAATTCTGTCATTGATCCACTACTACCATTCACAATGATTGGCGGTGAAGATGGTTTTGGTTTGTTTATTCATGAAGTAAGTGATTTTGTTCTTTCTTCATTTTTTATCTGTTGTGATGATTTGCCTTTCTCTTTTGTCTTTTTGTTTGCTTAAACACATACTGTGATTATGAACTAAACGTGAGCGTGTAAGAGGTAGACATGTGCTGTGAAATTGGGTCAATCATATGTGTATATTGATTGGAATTATCATTACACTTCATCCTAGTACAAAAATAAAAATATCTAACAGGTCAGTCAGACAGTTAGCTATAACGTAGAACTTTGTACACACGTACATCAGTTCAAGTTGCTACACCACATAGTGGTGTAGAAGAAGTAGTAGAAGCATTAACGTTAATTAAAAAGGGTTTGAAGGTGTTATTCAAGAAGTATAATTCAGTGATGAGGAATTCTGGAGGTTAGAATTTGAGAGAACACAAAGAGTGGATGCACCTGAGCCATTGAAAACGGTTTGGAGCCATGTCATTCAAAGTCTCTAACCATTGGTTACGATTATCTCCGGACTCTAACATGTTAGTCTACGCTTACCAACATGACTCAGTCCATTTGTCAGTGACTTCACAGGTTTTTGCCATGTTTTCGTCTGGCCGCCCCTAACTTTCTTCTAACTTACTCCTACACCACAAAACATAGCTCGTCGAGGCAGTCGATGGTTAGGCATACGTAACACATGTCCCAACCACCTCAACTGATGAATTTTCATTACTTCATCTATTGATTTGCCATCCTTACCTAATACTTGTTTCCTAACGACAGCATTGCTTACTCGGATGTCCCACGATATACGATCAATGCTTCTAAGACATCTATGATCGAAGACTAGTAACCTACGAACATCTTCTACTCTTGACGGCCATGTTTCGCATCCATATAGGAGAACGGAGTGAACTGCTGCACAGTACACCAGTCCTTTGGTTAACCTACGCCGTAAACAGCGTAAATTAGCAAAAGTAAATCGAGCTTTCTGTATTCGCGTTGAGATTTCGTCAGTCACCAGGCTATTAGCGTTGATGACACTCCCCAGATAAAGTCTTCTCCTTAGTTTTTTTGTCTCTCATGATATTCCTATAGTTTCTTCTAAGAAATTTAACATTCGTAGTACTGCTTCCTTTATCCAACTCACCTCCTGGTTTTCTGAGAAATTCATTGGAACCAGAATATATATAGCAAATCAATGTGTAATCATTCTAGTATCAAATCTATTTACAACGACAGTAACTTAAAAAAAAACTATACCAAACCTGTACAATGATGTTCAGACTTTTCACTTTATTAGTAAACATTGAATTCCAAACTGAATACAAATTTCTTTATTTGAATTATCTTTCTCTGTTATTTTTATGATGTTCAAAAGTGAAATTTTCTTGCTTACTGATGAAAATCTTTGTTTCACTACATCAGTATCTCGTCAAACTACTTTGCAATGTATGCGTGCAGTCAGGATTTGTTACTGATCGATTTGGTCTCATGTGCTTTTATGGGTATGAGGGTGGATGTCACTTCGCGGCTGACCACATCGTCGAAAGGTTCTGGTTTTCAGAAGGGGCATCAACCTCGTAACTTCCGGAGGAACTCGGCTTTCATCATGAGACGTCATAACTCTTCTAATTGAAGACCTTCTAACTCCCAGAGCAGAGTTTAGATCGTTTGAATTATTGTTTCTTGTAAGCGATGTTTAGCGAGTTTTTAGTGGGATGGGATCGCTAACCGCAATCCCAAAACCCTCCTCGTTTATTCGGGCTTGGAATCGGCAGTAGCCCCAAAGGGTTTACAGGTGGAGTTAGTTACTCACCAACGTATTTAAGTAGTATATGGTCAACACTTTTTATGACATGCTATAAATCTTTACCTGTTTACTGTTTTATTTTCTGATTGTTTGTTTATTTAAGGTACATAATTTAGTTGCAAACAATAATTCTGTAACTACTGCTGTCACTTATGATGGATTGACGACCACCAATCAAAAATGTCTCACTAATAATAATAACAATAATACATCGTCATCATCATCGTTAATATTATCCTCCTCATCGTCATTGTCATGTGATTCCGGCTATCCATCATCGTCAACAACAACAACAACACCAACATGTACACTACCCAATTATTCACTTGTCCCAAATCAAATACGTCGTGCTGATCAATTATTATCAGTAAATGGTCGTTCAGTGGAACATTTCAAACCAATCGATGTGATACAATTAATTCATTCAATGATCAATGCATGTTGTTCATTGGATAATAATAAAAAGACTGGATTGAATCATAAACAATTAACCGTAACTGGCAGGTCATTATCTCCTACCATTGTACATAATAATACAACTACAATAGACAATTCTACCGGTGGAGATCATTCCAAATCATCGACAATGACCGGTGTTACTTTTAATTTACGTTTACTGGTTATTTTTAATCCAGTTCGTAAGTGAAAAATCACTTGTTTATCAGTTTACGGCTGTTTTTTTAGTTCATAAATTACTTTAAATTTCTGGTTTAATTTATTTACTATCTATGTGTGTCAATTGTTGTAGTAGTGTTTGGTTCTCTGAGCTGGATGTTTTGGTTGTGGAGCTTTCATTGTTCTTCTGAACAACATCATCAGCACAAACTTCAGATAAAAAAGTGAAGTATTCGAATTTTCTTTACGTTTGACCTGTAGCTTGTTCTGTTAACCTCGATCTTGATTGTCTGCTGTTGACCTTAAACCTGTCGTTGTTTGCACTTTTGTTTTGATTGTATCCCCCTTTTGATCTATTTCGTGATCCTATGTTTGTCTATGATTTTTCTGATTGGTTGATAAATTGGGTCAATGTTGATGTGTGTTGTTGATTGCTGATTGACCTGAGTGCCAAGCTTCTAAAAATTCTCTAGTGTTCTTTGTCCTCTCCCTATACAGTATTTCTACATTGTTCCAATCGAAGCTGTGTCCATAATTGTCGGTGTGTAGTGATATAAGTGAAGCGTTGTCGTGGCGTTTGACTGCTAATTGTTGTTCACTTAAACGCAGCGGAAGAGGCCGTCCACTTTGTCCTATGTAGTGTTTTTTACAGTCTGAGCATTTTATTTTGTAGATGATATTTGGTTTTTCTTCCTTTGTCATTTTGTCCTTTGGTCTACATAGGATTGAATGAAGTGATTCTGTTGGTTTGTGTGCCAGACCTATTCCAAATGGTTTCAGTAGTCGTGCTGTATGCTCCGATCTGTATTTGATGTATGGTAGGATGATCTGTTTATTGGTTCCTGCGCTTGATTTCGCGAAATGATGTTGTTCAGAAGAACAATGAAAGCCCCACAACCAGAACATCCAGCTTAGAGAACCAAACAACACCACCACAATCATCCACCTGAGCTACAAATCTTCTCCACCATCTCAAAATGTGTATCAATACATGTTGTCTCATCTTATTGGCTTTTAGATTCCAACTTTTTTTCTAATGAGCAAACTAGTTACAATATCAGTCAGTCAGTCAGTCAACAACAACATAGAACTTCGTACGTATCTACATCAGCTGAGGTTGCCATACCACACATTAGCACACAGACGCAATTGTCAATTCAAATCCAATGGTAGTAGAAGTATTATCAGTAATCGGAGAGATTAGGGTTCGAGGATGTTATTCAAGAAGTAGAATCGAGTGAAATAAATATGTAAAGAGAGGAAGATAAAGGTGATGAGGGATTCAGAGCATAGAATTCCATCGAACACAAAGAATGAATGCACCTGCACCATTGCAAACAGTTTTGAGCCATGTCATGCAGGGTCTCTAATCATCGATTACTATCATCTCGCGGGCCTCAACCAGCTAGTCGACACTTACCGATATGGCTCAGTCCAGTTGTGAGTGACTTCATGGATTTGTGCCATGATTTGGTTTGGTCGCTCCTAGATCTCTTCCAACCTTTTACTACATCACGAAACATAGCTCGGCAGGGCAGTCGGTGGTTAGACATTCACAAGAATAATTTTTTCACGGTGTGGGCAGCCGGGAAGTAACTTCCGCCCTCATATCCATAAAAAGTACACTACACTAAATCAGTCATAATCAAATCTTTTTTTACACCTTCTAACAACTTTCTTTTTTCCTCGACCAACCTTTCGTACAAAGTTCTACGTTGCTGATTGATTGATACATGTCTTCTTCTTAAACCATACTGCTTTCATGTTTGCTCAAGTCACGACGATTAGCTGTTGATATGTAGATAGATAGATATAGATAGATATATGATAACTCTTTAGATTTTCACTTGTCAACTTTGGATATCACCAAGTTAATAAATAACATTACATAATGGGCACAAGCTCCGACTTCAAGCAAACATATAACTATGTGAGTAGAGAATTTCGATTGTAAAATAATCTAATTTTTTAGTGTTATCATTGTTGATAATATTGTGTCACGCACAAAAAGAATATGAAAATATTTAATACATATTTCTGCGTACAATCTTACTAACAGCAGTAATAAGTTTACGCAACAGTGAGATTTTCCCACATTGTTCTTGTTTTTTAAACGTTTACAGTATCGAATACCTTTTTTGTTTGTTTAGGGAATGAAGTATACAACAATATTTTCTAAAATTTAAAATGCTTTTTTTCCCTGATTTCAAATAATTCTTCTCTTCATTTTAAATAATAATTCATAATTAAATTAGAAATTACTCTGTGTGTGTGTGTGTGTGTGTGTGTGTGTGTGTGTGAAGTGTTCTTATGCATTTTGTGTGAGAATGCAAATGAAATGACTTTTTCCCTAGTGAAACATTTATTCTAGCTTTTAGTAGTTGTGATCCTTTTCGTTTGAGAATTGTACATATTCTATACGGAAAAAGTCATTAAGATAAAGAAAATGGAAGGTATGTCAGCATCGCTTTGCCACGTGTGTATCTTAGCCACTAAAAGGGAAGTTTTAATCATTACTATCGCTCAGTTGCGGTGTTCCTTATGAAATTGATAAGTAAAGTGACAATGCGACACCTAAACCAAGTCGGTGGGTATAAAGGATTCACCTAGCGGAGTTAGGAGACTCAGTGCACATTCGCGCCGATATCCTAATTGAATAAATGGTGTATAAACCAGTTGCTGGTCATCAACTACCACGATACTGCATCTTTTAACGTTGTTCCAGTAAGACCGTCGGGCCTTCTCACCTGGTTTGGTGTGAGCTTCCTGGTAGTATCCTAGCCTATAATTTCAGTAATTTGTCTTACGCACAAATATATGGTCGCAACTTTGTAGTACCGATGTTTATGTATTTAAATATAATCGATATTCAACTTACCTACTTACTCCTGTTACCCTCAATGGAGCATAGGCCACCATACAGCATTCTCTAACCTACTCTGTCCTGGGCCTCCCTTCCCAGTTTTATTCGATTTTTGTTCATTCTTTTCATGTCTGTCTCCGATTCTCGGAGTAATATGTTCTCACGTCTTCCTTTTATCTTTCGCCATTGAAGACTTGTGACACAGTTGGGTGCTTTCTTCAATGTGTCTTCTATCGACTCTCAGCACTTCCTGATTTCCTCCTCCTCTGGAATCCGGTTTCCTTTTTCCTACAGTAGGTTGTTGCTGATGGTGTGTGGTCAACAGATATCTTGTGGATGATAGCTTTGGTATTTTTCCAAGTTTCCGCGCCCCACACAGTAGAACTGCCTTGACATTTCTATTGAAAATTGTGACTTTCGTGTTGGTTGATAGTTGTTTTAAGCTCCATATGTTGTTCAATTGTAAAACTGCAGCCCTTGTTCTGCCGATCCGCTCATCTTTTACATCGGCATAAACCTAATAAATAGAAAATGTATTTTCTGAATGAACTCTGATTTGATATATAGCAAGCATGAGAGACAGTTATATATTACGTTTGATGAATTCATCTATTCATTGAATAGATTCATTCATGGTTTTTGTCAGTTATTGATAATACAAAGTCAAACCAATTAGTACAAAGCATTTCGCTTTTTTTACGTTTCAAGTGTTGTAGTTGATAAGATATTGGTCCACAGTTCATTCGAGTTGCATTTTAAAAAAAGAAACCAACACTTCAAATCCCTAGCCACAAGATAAAACTAATTGTTACGCTCATCTCTAGGTATGCTTAAACTATTACGGGTTCACCTTAGTCGATTAACGAGAACAAAACAATGAACCAGCGTCCAGGTAAGCTACAGCGATCCCTTGACCAAATTGAATCAACAAGAAGTCTTGATATAGTGTAGAAATTGTATTCTACAAACATCCAGCTAGCACACAATCACTCCAAGCACTCAATTTGCGTTTATTTATACTCTATAGAGACGTCCTTGGGTCAGTCACAAAAATAGCACACTGAAATAACACAGTAACCAATCATAGGTAAGGATTTTCTTGGTGGGGAATGTGATCTCAAGGTCTGCTAACTGATCGATCCATGAAATAAATTCGAAATTAAGATATTTATCAAGCGAGTTCTAGGGATCTAACATCCCTAACACTAATGATCCTCTTTCATTCAAATAATACCGAATAATTAATAAACTTTTATTATTATTATTATTATCTATGGTCTTGGGGTCCGTGAGATAATAGTCATCGTTAGTTAGAGACCCGTTCACAAGGGTGCAGGTGTATATTTATTCTTTATGTTCTCTCTCACAAATCCCAACCCTTATTTCACTGATATATGTGTTTACTTTTGTCTTTTTGCACAGAATATTATCAAGTTTTAAACTCCATGAATAATACTAATACCAATAATACTACTACACCGATACTACTGTCAAATTCAATGAAACCAATCAATAAACCGATCAGCACATATCAAACTGTGGATGATCTTAAAAATCCGATGAAAAAATCATCTGCTCCATTATGTGGAAACATTATGTTGAATAATTCAAATGGCAACAATGAAATTTGTCGACTCAAAAAGCATAGTTTGTAAGTTTATCTATTGATCTATTTATTCATTGATTCACGTTTGGTTTATTGTTACAACTACTGTAGTGAAGGAGAACACAGGTGGGGCAACTGGGTTGTACTTAGCGAAAATTACAGAGTTACTCAGTAAAATCGGAAAACCATATTGTAAATCGTTCATTTGCAAAATATTAGTTCATCATATCGAACTGGACTGTTGTTCCTGTTGCAAACAACATCAATCCATTGTCACTACTAGTCATGCGTTCGTTTCATACAAATTCCATTGTGTTCTAACTCGTCCTTTCTTTCTTGATCTTCCCCCATGTTCTGCTGCCACCAGACATTACGTTGACACTCACGTCATATACTACTACTTATAAGTAGCTCGCACCACAGTACTAGTAGTAGTGTAGCAGTAGTAGTTACCTTTGAATTGTTTATGTCTGTCGTATATACTGTATACTGTATTAGTTCATTCTATATATGTTCTTTATGTATATGTACTAGATAAGGATTCGCAAGTCAGCTGACTCACTACATCTTGACCAGCTAAGTTGGTGTGGGACATGTGTATATCTCGAAGAACAATGTTGTCTAGTGTGTGTAGGTTGGGATATAGGTTGACAGAAAGTTAGGGACTGCTGTCAAAAAACACGATATAGAATCAGTTTATAAAGTCAATTACTGTTGGCCACGCAAACTTCAATCAGGTAGTGTACACTTGTTAAGTACAAAGAAGCAAACGGCTACGTAGTACAATACTTAACCGTTAGTTGTTGGCATACAGATCAACGTACATTAACAAAATCCCATGAAAGTAGCCTATGCACCTAAGTACGTACATCACTCTCTATCCTAAAGTTCAAGCATTGATGTATATTTACGGCTACTGACCGACTATCAACTGCTCCAAAAGATGTCTCATACACTTATATTTTTCATATAGGTGGTATATTGATTACAAACAACTATTGAAATGTATATGTTAGTTAAATCGATCATTAGAATTTCATTTGCAATCAAATTAAACATTTGTTTCTCATAAAAAAAATTGTTGCACCTGCACTTAAACACGTCAACTTGATATACTTGAATGCTATTACGAGTTCACCTTAGTCGGAAAACGAGAACGAGGATCGAGGATCCGGTGACACGACATGCTACTCAAATCCGATTATCCCAACCCCCATATTGAGTAAAAAAATAAGAAGACTTGAATGTGAAGTAGAACCTGTATTCTCCAAGCATCCAGAAAGCACGAGGTCCGAATCCAGAAGAGAATCAAGATCCCGGACTAGGGATCCAGGACCGAGCCCTCGTCCTAGTCATAAAACGTTACAGATAATACGTACTTATACATTTTGGTCGAATAGGAAACAGCATCGTAGTCTGTGACATTGACAGTTAAGGCGACCAATAAGAAACAACATTGGAGCACGTGACATTGATATCCAGGACGACCATAAAATTGACCAGTAGGAATTAACCAATAGGAATCGACCAACAATTCTCGTAGGATATTGGATGAATATCCTAACATAAATACTAACTAAGTATTTTGACACTTTCTCAACATTTTCTACTAGGACTTTCCATATTGACGGTGTTATTTAATGAGTTAGTAGTCACTGATTGTAATAAGAGTAATATATATACATATTACATCAGTGTTACGTAATCATACTATGTCTCTTTTGATAATTATTCCAGTTAAGTTACACAAATGTCTTCCTGAATGCCATTTATTAACGATTCCTTTTTCATATATTTAAAGACATATGCGATTACTTGTCCATTTGTATTTTACTCTCTCTCTCTCTCTCAATATCGCTAATTTATAATCAAGACCTCTTGTAACTATATGTCCACCATTATCGAATGCATCGTCAATGATTGAATCGGAACATAATTATCAGTTAAAAAATTTCCATTCTACACAACCATCTTCCACGTATGTGATAATACTTTACAATTAGTCAGTTAGATATGATGGATGATATTTCATTCAGTGAATGAATAAGTGAATGCATCTTTTCAGTTTTATCTAGTTTGAATTGTAAGAAGAATGCTCTTTTTGAATGTCAACCATTCATTCCTAAAGTTACTACTTTTACTACTTAACTACTACTACTACTACTACTACTTACTACGACATTCGAATGTTTGTTTTTTGTTTTTGCATCGATTTTTTCTCCCGCTTCTCCTATGCATTCATGACCACTTATTTATCTTTGGTATGCATCAATGTATTTTGTGTTTGGCTCTCTTTTTTTAAAAATTCTGGCTGATTATAATCTGATGAGTCTATTAGGATGCATGTCAAAGATTGGTTTGTTTTGCTAGTTGATTTGATTATTGCTTGTAGTGAAAAAAGTACGTACGTTACAAACAACAACAATTTATTGAAATCTTTCTCTTTCTTCAGTTGTTATTTGTTAATGTGTTCCTTGTGATCAAATTATTTCAGTTAATCCGGAATCCATCTTTGTTCAATTCCATTCTATAGTTGTGTATTATTGCTTCTAGATTAGTTTGCGTCGGCACTTCAACTAGTGGTGATATAGAGAGTGAATTAGTTTAACTTGTCGAATGATTCACTTATCTTGGGAGTCTTATCAGTGCTGACGGCCTGGTGACTGACGAAAATATCAGCACATATGCAGTAGGGTCGATTGGCTTTAGCCAACCTTCTTCACTTATGGTGTTCGTTCGCGATGGCGCCGGAGCATTTATTCTTTGTGTTCTCTCAAATCTTAATCTTCTGGATTCTTCAACACCCATAGTTTTGACTTTCTAAACTTTTCTCACTGAATCATACTTCTTGAATAATAATATCTTCTAATCCTAACCTCTCCGATTAATTCTGATACCTTTACTACCTCTTCTACTATTGGATTTGAATTGACAATGGCATCTCTGTGCTGATGTGGTATGGCAACATGAACTGATGTACTTACGTACGAAGTTGTACGTTGCATCTGACTGACTGACTGACTCACTTATGGTGTATAAGAAACAAAGGAAAAGTCTGCTGAGCAGCAGTTCGCTCTGCTCTACTATATGTCTGTGAAACATGGCCAGTGAGAGTAGAAGATGTTCGTAGGTTATTAGTATCCGATTATAGATGTCTTCGGAGCATTGCTCGTATATCCTGTAACAACGCAGTAAGCAATGCTGTCGTTAGTAAACGAGTACTAGGTAAGGCTGGCAGATCAATAGGTGAAGTTGGTCGGGTCATGTGTTACGTATGGCTAACCACCGACTGCCTCGACGACCTATGTTCGATGGTGTAGTAGTAGGTTGGAAGAAAGCTAGGTGCAGCCAAACCAAAACATGTCACAAATCCATGAAGTCACTGACAAGTGGACTGAGTCACGTTGGTAAGTGTAGACTACCTGGTTGAGGGCTGCGAGATGATGGTAACCGATGGTTAGAGAACTTGAATGACATGGGTCAAAATGGTTTGCAATGCATCCACTCTTTGTGTTCTCTAAAATCTTCATCTTTTGAATTTCTCATCAACTCTATCTTTCTCTTTCTAAAGTTACCTCATTAGATTATAATAATAATATTTTCAAACCTTAATCTTCTCCATTACCACTGATACTTCTACTACCTCTACTATTATGGGATTTGAACTGACAATTGAGTCTCTGTGCTAATGTTGTGGTATGGCAACCTGAACTGTTGTACGTACGTACAAAGTTCTACGTTGTAATTAACTGAATGTCCCTATCATACATTTAAATAAACTTTCTATTTGTAGCTTATAGTTAATATAACAGTTGATCAGTAAGTGATATTTCATAGAAAAATGAAAAAAAAAGTTGTTTTCCTACCTCTCTCACTAATATTTTTCTTTTCTGTAACGATGCTTTACCCTTTGAAAATGTGAATTGTATCATCCGTTTTTCTCTACTCTGGATCTATCTATCTTGTATCACAATTGTTTTTTTCATTGAAGCAATCGTTCATCCTAGTGGTTGGTAGCAAGTATAGAAGTGATATAATCGATATTTTGTCGGTATATTTTCTATAGATGATACTTTGAAAGTTTTTTTTTTCTAATGTGCAAGATTTACAAGCAATAAATTTTTTATTATTCTTTGGAGGAATTTTCCAATCAATAATACATAGTCACACTTAGAATTAGTGTGTGCGCAATTGGTCTGTATCCGATAATAATCATGTCGCACGACAAATGTTTTAAATTTTCATGTCATTCGTTTTTTTTAAACTGACAGTTTTTTTTCTCTTTACGGCATTATTACTGTTTGTGAATACCAGCACCAGCACCACCACTACCCAGAATAGTAATGTAATAATCGATATGGACAGTTGTTGATTATCGACATTCTCAGTTAGTAGTTAGTCAACTACAATGTAGAACTTCGTACGTACCTCAATTCAAGTTGCTATTACCACATAAGCACATAGAGAGAGAGAGATCGAATCATCCATTCAAATCCCTTAGTAGTAGAAGTTTAGGTAGTATAAGTATTCGCGATAATGATTAGGGTTCGAAGATTATGATTCAACACGTATAATCTCGTGAAATAAATTTAAAAAGAGACTAAACGGTCATGAGGAATTTAAAAGATTGGAATTTGAGAGAATACAAAGCATGGGGATACAGCTGCGCTATTGCAAGCGATATTAAGCCATAGTGGTAGAATTCAGGACACGAGCCTCATCCTTTTTTCGAGGGGATGATTCAACAAACAACCCAGATATTGTTTATGTATTATAGTTAGAAAAAATACATTTAAAATTGATCCATGAGATATTATCTTCTCTATGAATTAGTTTAATATAAATCGCTTAAAACAGTAGTAAATAGCTAGCTAGCTACTCAACCAAATGACAGTTTATGAATAAACATGCTAGTTGAAGATTTCATTTCTTGCTTAAATCAACTCTTTCTGCTGCTATGTTACATTGAAAACAATAATACACGTGAATATGACCACTTGATAGTCGTATAAATTCTCTTTTTTATCAGGTAAACAGTTATAACATTTTTACTTAAAACTGTAAACATTGTTGTATAGAGAATAACAATATAAACAAATAAAAAAATTATCCACTTGATTTATGATTTGTTTAAATTGATCAATTTTCAATTCCTCTTTTTTGTTGGCGCTATATTCAAATATAATTTTATACATTGAATTTGATTGGTCCAGTTGAACACAGCTCATGCATTCATTCTCCAATTCATGATTTTTTTTGTTTTTAATTAGATCCAAATTAAGACGACGTATAAGGTGGTTAATTTTCTTTTTCTTTTTTAGTGATTATTTTGCGAATAACTTATTTTAAATAATTTCTCGGTGCATTACACATCATAATCGGTCTATTAATTAATTTTTTGCGGGGGGTGCAGGGAGCAGTATTGTGTCATCATACTACCAAGTACACTTTTATATGTAATATAAACTAGGTGTATTATACTTGATTAGTGGTGTTTTTTGTTTCTATTTTTCTATTGTTTCATTTTGAAATTGTGTTTTCATTTAAATCTGAATACAAATCGCTAACTTTGCTTGTATAGGTATATCTGATTGGTGTTTCGTGTAACACAATGTCGACTAACGATTCATGCATACACATTTATTATTAACCTTATGATCTAATCTTATCTCTCTCTCCCTTTGTAATACATTCAACACTTTCAGTCTGAATTATTTCAACGTTTTTATTATTATTATTTTTGGTGTTCTTTCCCAAGCTTTCCCTGGATAAAGAAGCCAGGGTTGGGGATATTATAAGGGGTTAGAGCGATCGACCTCATCTCGTAGAGAAAACTAACTAACTAGCTAACTAACTAACTCGCTAAAATAAAAACCGCTAACCAGTGAAAATAAAATCTCACCACAGACTAAGATTAATGAATTGAAAAGCTGTAAAATATTGGAACAGTTGTTATTTTTTTTAAATATCGATTGCTATCAATTAGGAAAACTAGTATATACATATCTTCAATGGCATTGGTTTTATTGTCCGTAATTGTGTTTTTTTTTTCGTGAATTCATAGTTTTATTCTGACTTCTCAATAAAAAAAAAACGAGAAGTTACTCAATGCATTTATATCACGTTGAATAAATCCCGCTACTTAACATATGGTAGTTATTTTCAGTGAGAGTTTTGGAGGTTAGTATTCCTACACATTGAAATCATCAATCAATCATTGTTAGACCACCATTAGAAGAAACATGGAAGCGCTGGACAACAGTTTTGTCCCGGTATGCGACTAGCTTCGTGAGGAAATTCTAGGAGTTTTAGTAAGAAGACTTGAATAGTGGAGTTCAACCCCGTTTGTGTTGTAGGCTGTAAATACCGAATACAAATGGTTGATGTCGCTCAAAATCTCTAGATTGATCAGAGTTAGACAATAACACTGTTGGATGCCGGCTCCGGTGGTCCAGAGGTTAGGCGTTCGTACGCTACACCGAAGGTACATAGTCCGAATCCTGCGATTGGCAGGAGTCGTGAATGCGCACTGCCACTGATGAGTAATCCCATACCAGGAGGAAACGTCCGTCTTTCCATACTTCCAAGTTTCTAATTGCTGGTCTAACAGTGATTGATTGATGACTTCAATGTGTAAATACGGTAGTCCTGTTGCTTCTTTTTCAAACTGTTAGTGGGACATAGATGGGATTAAAACATGACTACGTTGCTACGCGCTGATTGGCTAATTTCCTATCCAATCACGCCTGATCGAATCTTGGAGAACAGGGTAGAAAATTCTCGTATTGTTAGCTGCGTGCTGATTGGTTAAATCTAATCCAGTCGATCACGTGAATTTCTATCCAGAAGCCTCTCATGTAAATGCTATAAATAAACTAACGTTATATCTATTTTTGGCCTTCACCTTCGCCATCACCTTTGGCTTCTTATTTCCACTTGACCTCGCTATTTGGAATATAATCTCTTTCCTGTTCCACCGTGTTTTTTGATTCTTTGGGACTTGTCCAGTAGTGTATTGTGGTCAGAGAATAAATACTAAGCAATAGGAATTAGCTGGAAATCATTTAAGCAAGCGTTACAACACAAACTCTTTTCATGCATATTATTAATTGATCGGTCAATGTGTAGAGTGTATCTTCAGTGATTATTTTAACTGTTCAGCAATCAAGTAAAACTTGACAAAAGCATATATATATATGTATATGTCATCTTCCGAACAACATTCATTATTGCCTTACTTTCAGTTCCCATTATGTTGTAATGATTTATTTTAATGTAAATTTTGTTGGAATTCTTAGACAGAAACTACTTGCATAATGGAAGGTAATAGAATCTGTGTGTGTGTGTGTTGACAGTTTTCACACACACACACACACACAGAGAACAAAATCTATAACACCTAAATATTTTCATGACAGTTGTAGCTCAACACTACTAACCTCTATGAAATAATTCATATCATATATAAAAATTTAAAATGGTGACAATAATTTTTATAATTCATAACTAACTGAACCAAAATAAAAATTTATTGCTTGAAACAATTTTTTTTAGGGATAAAAGACACTGATATGAATTTTTTTCTCTAATTTTAAGAATTTTCACTATACTTTCCTGAAATACAACGTTCGAGCGAGAGACCGAAAGTCCTGGGTTCGCTCGCGAGGTCTTAGATGCGCACCTCTGATGAGTTCCACACTAGGACAAAACGTCTGTCCAATGCTTTTAAGTTTAAAACAACACATATAAGCGAAAAGTATTATTGTTTTCGATTAGATCGTCATCAGGCTTTACTCTCCAATATACATAAACATTTTTGATGAAAATGTTAAACCAATCAAGGCAATTTATGGATCGATAATCACAATGAAATGAAATAGGTTACGTCACTACACACATAATAGGGGGAAAAGTACATGTTGATAGTAGGAAGACAGGTGTACTATTAGTAGTGGTAAGAGAAATAAAATACGATAACACAAGTTTCATCCATAGTTCAACATTGGTCTAACATTGATCAATTCATAATTTCAATGAAATGCACCAATCGCCACAATCCCCCTCTCCAAACTACTGGTATATGAGAAAGCTAAAATAACACTGATAATGACTACTGTTGAAATGCATTTTGTAATGACATCCTTTTGTTATCGGGTTACATAATCTCTGTTGCACCGTAATTAATTAGGCGTAATAAATTAAACGATGTTTGTATTATGTTTCATTCTGTAGATTGTCATGTCTAAAACTAATCACTTTTACCCCTTTTTATTTCCGTCTGGGACATGTGTTACGAATGCCTAACCACCGATTGCCTCGACGAGCTATGTTTTGTGGTGTAGGAGTAGGTTGGGTGAAAGCTAGGGGCGGCCAGACCAAAACATGGCACAAATCCATGAAGTCACTGACAAGTGGACTGAGTCATGTTGGTAGATGTAGGCTACCTGGTTTGGGTCCGCGAGACGAAAGTCACCGATGGTTAGAGACCTTGAACGACATGGCTCAAAATCGTTTGCAATGGCGCAAGTGCATCCATTCGTTGAGCTCTCTCAAATCTTAATCTTCTGGATTCGTGAGCACCTGTAGCTTTGTCTTTCTAACTTTATCTCACTGAATTATACACTATGGGATTTGATTTTACATTTGCGTCTCTGCACTAATGTGGTATGGCAACATGAACTTATGTACATACGTAGGAAGTTCTACGTTGCAACTGACTGACTAACTTTTTATTTCCGTCTACTCCCATAGTTATATCTCACGTGCTATTTTTTTTACCAAACTGTATAACCCCAATCTATTCTGACATTATGACGATCCTAAATCAACCAATCTATAAATATTGATCGAAATGTGCACTAAAATATTTATGTTCCCCCCACAAATCAATGAATCTGTGTATGGGTTGAGAAACTGCTCGGGTGTCCTAACCGAAGCGGGTTGCTATCCTAGAGATACACTCCTCGAGCACTTGATCTACAGGTCTAGTTAACATATAGTGGTTAATGGGTGCAGTCCATTGGTAGCTAGTGGCCAACAATTGGTTCATACCCCTTTTTGTTCCTTCGGAACTCTAAAGTTCATTTGAACTAGAGTTTTCCAACTTCCCTAGAACACAGATCCTCTTTAGTCAACAACTCGCTTAAAGTACCAGAAATTTGTTTTGTGTCCTTTCAGTTCTGTAGACAACATCCTCGTGATAAAGAATCAATGAATAGAACTTCTCTGTAAGTGGCTATTCACGTGTGGCCATGCGAGAGAGCAAACTCTACCCACTATCGAAAGTATCAAGTTATTTGGGTTTGTATGTTAAAAATCGATATGTTACTTCTATCGAAACATTCTCATACATTCCTTTTCAATATATACCTTACTATAAGTTCATTATCTATTCAAGTTAGATAGTATCCCTTGATTTGTATACTTGCCAAAAAATGCTTGTTAATTTGTATTCATTGAATCTACTTTTTCGAAGTGAATAAGATTGTTTTTAGCTATCGTAATGAAAGAATTTTGATTGTGACCAGTTTTGTCTCGTGTACTTTTATGGGTATGGCGGCTGCCCACACCGTGGAAGAGTTCTGATTGTCAGAACAGGTATCGGCCTCATGACTTCTGAAGAAAGTCGGCTTTGATCATGAGACGTCATAATTCTTCTAACTCACAGAGCAGAATCTGTATGGTTTGAATTATTTTTCTTGTTAGCGTTCTTTGGCAGGGGTCACCAACCGCATTCCCAACCCTCCTCCTTTAACCGGTCTTGGGGAAAGCGGCAGTATCCCTGAAGGATCTACAGGCCGAGTTGTAATGAAAACAATCGTGATTGATGATGGTGTGTTTTTGTCTTAAATAAAAAGTTATTTCATATTTATTCAATTGATATTATTTTCCCTGTATTTTATTTTTCTTCGTGAAAAAAAAGTAGAAACTACTTTCTTTCTTTTTTATATAAAATGATTTAACATTTCACACTAATTAATCATCAAGACATACTTATTGAATTTTGAATTGCATTAATTTCTGTCTGATGGATAGATAGTGAGTGAATAATGGTCAGCATGGTTAGCTTTTAAAAGTTGAAAAAAATTAACTGATCTGTTTGGAAGCCAGTCTAGTCGAATTTAGTTCATAGAAGCTTTATTTTCCATAATTCACTTAATAATACTTATTATTTTTTTATCTGTTGATTTATCCGATCTCTGTTTGTCTTTCTTAAATCATTATTGTAAAATCTTCAGAAATCATAATATCCAGTTAAATATTTACCACTTTTTAGCTTCAAATAGTGTACTAG